ATGGCCTCCTGAATAAAAACCTTCTCAAGGCTCCAGCTTTCACTGAAATTAGTCCATACCAAGGGAAGTGTAACACAAATACATTTGAGGTACAATAGATTCTTAGAAAGAACCAAAAAAATAAACCAACCTTCATTCTTTTTGCACTCAACTGTAGGCTCATTCAGGTTAACCAGAGGTATATTTTGGCTCCCTTTCCAGTTAGTGCATATTTTTTTTATAGGTGCTGAAAATGGCCATCAGAACAAAAACCTCCTCACAGCCCCAACTTCCACCCAGATTAGTCCATACCAAGGGAAGTGTAATACAACTACATTTAGACTACAATAAATTCTTGGAAAGAACCAAAAAATGACCCATGGTCCATTCTTTTTGCACTCCACTGTAAGTGCCATAGAGAACAAAACATTGAATGAAATACCTACCAATGAGCAATGAAATAATCAACAAAATAGCTGCCGTGGAGAGTGAAAGACTGAATGAAATACCTACCATCAACTTGGCAATGAAATATTTGATGAAATAAGCACCATGGGGAATGACATATTGCATGAAATACCTACAATGAAATATATAAATAACCCATATGGAGACTGAAAGACTGTATGAAATACCTACTGTTGAGCAATGAAATATTTGATTACAGTGGACACAGTGATGGTGCCTGACAGAAAACTTTAGAATTATGCTAAGACTGCTCAACCTGAACATATGGTGTTCATTATCCCAACTGGTACTGACATGCTAACTCAATGAAAGCAGAGAAGAAGAAAAACACATTTAAAAAAGTCAATTAGTAAATACATCACAATGGCACACTCATCCACCCCTGCAGGAAGTTTAGCAAAATCTGTGTAACATCCACGGGCTCCTTCCAGAGTATCATGGCGCTCTTCACCATCACTGGTTTGAATTTGTCCAGAAGCGATTGTGAATCTCCTGCCATCTCCCCTGTCATACCCCTCCTTAACCTCTCAGCCATTGATATCCCCGGTCATCCTGCTCCTGTCCCTGATGCTCTTTCACCCCCATAGGTACACTGGTTGCATGGTTTGGACAGCCACATTCTGGGTTGAGTAACAGAGTACAGGAGAACACCTTCAAGATTCTGTCAGGCAGTGATGACACCCTATCACACGTCCAACGGCATGGACTGTGTACCTGGAAGTGAGGGTGTGCTGCTAATACTTTGCCCTGCAGGTTGGTTGACAAGGTCACACAGTATGTCGACGGTGCCATTCCCCAGCTTGAGTAGTGTCCCGAGGGAGGCAGGTTCTCCAACGATGATCTTTAGATGGAAGTAGGTTAGTTACAAACTTGACAATGACAAGCACGGATTGTACAGGAACAATGAGAGCTTCACTGATATGCCAATCTTGAGAAGTTGAAGCACAACAGCCGCCCTACTGATGTAAACAAGTGTCCCAATAATATTGCTGGAAAGCCTGAATAGTCAATGTATGAGATGTGTTATTAGGGGGCGTTTCAGAGGGTCTCCACCAGAAGGCGGAGCTTTCTTGAACAGTGTCCACTCATTGTTTGTTACAGGTAATGGCATATGTAGTTCAACTGTTGGATAAGCTGGAGAGCGGGGGCTGTGAATACCCAATGGCCAAAGAACCTTGTCCATAGCTGGGTTTACGTTGCCTGCTGCTGGGACACTGGCAGCGATGTTATAGAAGAGGTTCACAACCTGTTCGATTTCTTCGAGCAGCAGTAGGGTAATGGTGTTTTGAATTCTCCCTGACAGTTTAATTGTCCCTGGCAGCGCACGAGATATCTGGTCCCCGTAAAACTGAAACCGCAGGCCTCGGAGTCGAAATAGTGGTTCTGGTGTCCCAGAGCTGATCACAGCTGCAATGACTAATACCATTGCGCAATAAGCCGCATGCGCAGGGCTCCTTTCTGTCAGCAATTCTGGAAGTGTGACATTTATCTGCCCAATGCTGATTCTGGCGTAGATGAAATTGTTGTCGTAAGCATTTAGAATGCCTTCGCTAGCGAACCATTCAGCTCCAATGGCATTGCTAACAAATACCATGTGAAAGAGCAGAATGTGAGGGGAATAGAGTGGTTGTTTGCGTGATAAGAGGAGTGGAAGCTCCAAGAGGCCGACAAGGTCTATGTGAACGTATAAGTTTAAGCTAGCATGAATCACGTTAGTTTCTTGGCGCCTTGCAAACCAGAACGCCGACGACGAGGTAAGATCTGCTCAAGTGCATTGGTAGTATTCTCGTCCCATATAGGTTGGCATCATATCTCCTGACCTCTGCTCCGCTGCAATGTCGTATGATAGGGTTGCAGCTATTGGTAGCAGGATGGCCTAACTGTATCATAGCTTGGAAGGTATGCAGTGACCCGACGAAGCAACATTTCCCAAGCTTCAGCCAGAGCCGTCTGTGAATGCGCCAGCAAGAGGTTCAAGTTAATAGACAACAGGTCCTTTTCTACCAGGTCAGCAGGCTCGTACGTCCCCTCATCTCTGGTCTTCTTGTCGTCACCTTTCGGCTTCAAAGCCTTGACATCAGAAGGAGCACGAAACACCTGTGACGAAGAGACCAGAAAGGGCCGATTCTTTGTCCACAGCCAAGGAAATGAAGTTCCAAATCCCATTGCACAGGGCGAGTTCGTCGTATGGGTGTGAAATGATACGTACAAACAGAGCGACAGTGATTTCGGTGTTTGGAAGATGGCCAACAATTGTAGGGGGAGACGGGGAAGCATAGGAAAGAGATGCACCGAGAGCAGTCAGGAGGCATATTGCTTCCACTGGCAGGATTGTATGTACTGTACGATCGTTGTCGTAGCTGGCGGAGATATTGATCGGGCCATGCTTCATTTGGCCTTACTCTGTAGTCGGTTCACTAGTAACACGAGCACAGAGAGCTTTGGCAATTGTCTTCTATTGTCTTTCAAGTCTCCGCTGTTATTTATAAACGACACATGGAGTTACAGTTCAGCTTGTCCAAAAAGACATGGCTTGGATGCCATGTTGTTTCTCAACTTGTAGGTGAGTATCAAACGGAAAATACGGAGGTGGTATGCGAGGAGAATAACCAAATGGCTGACGTCACCCTAGCGTCGAGCCGCAGCCAGCATTCGAACGACATATGCGCCAGAGCTTACAGATGTGACCAGAGGGTTGATCGTCGACGTCGTGGCTTAGCATCTGCGACAGATTGGGTCAGAGTCATAAATGGTCTTTCATCGAGCAAAGATGGAGCATGCTCTAGGACTTCAAGGTAAAACAAAGCCGATCTCGAAGCGGTGTCCTAGCTGGGTATATTTCCAGCCCAGGTGTTCTATTCATATCTTGATGTGGCCAAATCGAGCACCACGGAGCAAAGGTTCCTCCTTCACTTGCTGAAGTCAAGCGATCTGGGATGATGGAAGTTGACGCCTCACGAAAGATTTGCTGCACCACGAGAAGTAGCGCGAGAGTCAACGTGTATTTCCCAGTTGTGCGTTCTGTTGTCAACGCAGCGGAAGCAAACCCATCCACTTTATCTGACCCAAATAGCGTCGTTGTAGAGGGGATGTATAGCCAGATGCGACTGGGATAGGTTGGAATGGCAAGGAGGCAAGAAGGACGCTTATCGCGGATGTAATGAGTTTGGTGGGCGAAGGCGACTTAGCCCCCCCATTTGAACGCAATAGCTTCTTCCAAGATCATAGTCGTAAGATGGATCAGGTCGGTTGTAACTCGGTCATGGTATGGGCTGCCACAGATTCCCCATCCTCCAAGGGAAAAATGAGCTCTGCAGCTTGTCGAGGTTATCTCGGATGAGTCATGACGCTCCGCACAAGATCCAGAACATCAGTAATCATGTCCTCGTCTCAATGATTGTCCCTCTCTATTCCAATGTCTCTGATTTGTAATGCACTTCCCCTTCGACCAAAAGAAACATCCGGTGAGTCCCATAGTCCATCCTCTTCCAATTGACGTAGCCCGTCAATACTTCCGAAATGACTCTCCACCCAGAGTGTTCATACTGCCAGCAAACGACGATATGGTCGGCCCCATCTCCACTCAGCACTTTCCCTGTTGACTTTGCTGGAAGGACGGACCCGTCGGGAAGCCTGATGGAGGTACGTAGGACCAAAGTTTAGTTTAGAGGAACCATATCGCTTGTATCGCCTTTCATAGATGACATGTGCGCTAGCGCAGGCCCTGGCAAAGTAGGCAGCTTGTCCAGGTAACGGAAAACGCAAGTATCGCAGTCCTCGCGCTCTTCATTGAGACCTTCGCCCTCGTGAAAAGAGACCGCAGTGGATAGCGAGTCTGTATGGAGGAACCCAGATCCCGTCCTAGCACGGAGAAGGCGGGCGAGGGGCCTGACTCCTAGTCTTGATCGTGCAACGTCGAATATGACTCTTCGAACAATTCCGGCATGAAAGTCTGCCTGCCAGAATTACCGACATATGCCTGAAACCGGGGAACTCTCACTCCTGCGAAAGAAGCGCTATCCACAGTTTGACTGGCGCGTCAAATTCTGGATCAAGTCCAACGGGGACAAGCTCTGCGATCGTCATGACGGATCCTACTGAGGTCAAGGTTAGTTAAGATGACAAAAAGTCATGAGGAGAAACGGACCATTCAAGACAGCGGAACGCGACTGCATTGTGATCTGATATAGAGAAACAGGAGACATCCGTCACGAACAAGGTGGAGTTTGTAAGAAGATCGCCGAGGAGGTTGAACAACCCGGCTTCTGGTTCAAGACATTGGGACATGCAGCGATCCGCAATTCTGGCGCTGGGATATGGCGTCGAAGAAGGTTTGATATGAGGGCGGAAGCTCCTTGGTTTCCGCAGCCTTCGAGTGCGAGCGTGACAGGACATACGTCCATGCTAGGGGTATCGTCTGCCTGGGTGCTCACGAGGTCGTGAATGTGTCCAACGGAGGAATCATGTATAGTTATCCGTATCTGCGGAAAAGACCAAAGATTGTGGATCACTCAAGCTTTCCAGTTCGAGGGTTTTAGTGGTGATGAGAGTCCAAATTGCAGCGCAATCTGATTGCGTCTGTCTGCTTTCCTCATCCAGCAAGGTGTTGTTTGCTTGCGTGGAACCTAGGCATGTGCCATATGGAGCCTCATAGATCGTCAGCACCAATGGTCCTGTGCACTAGAAGTAGTTGAACGACGCCCAAAACAGCACCTCCAAAAGCACCAATCGATCCTTCAACGACTGCTTCGCCCAGTGTGCAGCCTTCTTCGGAACTCCAGTCAGCTTCGATGGGACGACCTCCTTCGTTTTACGGCTGTACTCTGCCACGACCTCCTCTGGAAACTTTGTGGAATCATGCAGCGAACTCGTGTAGGCGGTGATCTGAGTTCCCCATTACGTAGGACGGAGGAATGAGGACCCGGAAAGTGTGTAGGTGTTCCGCGTCATAGAACGGCGGAACGGTCTCGGCAAGTTCATCAGCAGCAACAATGGCCTCCAGCGGACCACCGGCCATTCCAGAGTCCATAGCTGTAAATGAACGTGCGAATGAGGATGCAGGCTTGCACTTCGTCAGTCTGGAATGTGTCGCTGATAGCGAAGACGCCTTTTTCCCATCGTCAACCTGAATAACCTCTTGTCATCTGGCAGGGGACGGAAGCACTTTCTATCTTCCTCGACGCGTCTGATGGCTTCCCGTGGCACGTCTGAGCTTCGTCGTGAGGTACTGAGTCAAGATTTCGCGCAGGCTACCATATGTTCTGGGAGCATAGGTCTCAATCAGGTCTCAAATGAGCAATATAGACTCTTACATGTCGATAATATTGGAGGATTCCAGTCTGGGAAGCAGTCTCTACGGGGCTCGGAGGGGAGCGAAGAGGGTGGGTGAGATAACTGTGGGTGGCGATGAGCTTGGATTCGAGGTTGGGATGGAAAACGAACCGACTGAGACGCAGAGGGAGAAGAGGACGAATGAAGTAGAAAACCTCGGTGCTGGGACGTTCTTTCCGCAAGCAGGGACTACAGGAACTTTGAAAACAGAAAGAGACTTGAAAGCTTGACGTCCCTCCCACACCAACGGGCATCGTACTCCTCATGCTGTTAGAGAAAGTCTAAGGTAGCGTTGTTTCACGAATTGTGTAGCTAGGATGTTGGGTTGTAGAGATAGGATTTTATGAGTGTTTCATGCGCAGTCGTTCAGAATGAGAATGAAGAAAATTTTGCGAAGAATGCATGCGGGTCGTGGGTTGAATGCCACTCTCATCATTCCCCGTACCACCTACAACATTCTTTTTCACTTGCTCTTCACCTGGAATGGGGCACTCTTAGACACTCTTGTGTGTCAAAATTCTCCATAGAACAAGCCAGATTAGTGCCCCAGGCATGGGCAACCGACTTCACCGTAGCTCTGAAAGCTGTCCCCACACGTTGTGCAGAGTCCACAGTCGTTGCGTATGTCAATCTTTTTCACATAATTGTCGTCCCAATCTCTAATGATTCTCCTGTATAGATAACGACGTCACTTGGCTACCTTTTCCTCAACCTCTTCCAAACAGATCCAAGACGAACCCGACGGGGGTCATGTGGTCGATTGGCGTCAACTTCGCCCAAGCCTCGTCCGTCGTTGCATCTCCAAAACTTGACAAGCCCTCTAATGGAGTCGGCGGATGAAAGGGAGGTTAATGATCCAGAAGATAATGGCAAGGAATGATGAGGTTGGGTTATCAGTGAGTTTACCCCGATTTCATGCTCGTAACTTCACAGGGCTCATCTTTCGTTACAGGGTGCTTCGCGCCCAGTGAGGACAGGCATCAGCGTGAATATGTCGCTCCGAGTAATATTTGACTAGAGATTTCAGGGTGAGCTCGTGCTTTCTCTCCTCTTCTGGGGTCCAACTCTGACTTCCTGGGTCAGCGGGCCAAGCGAAGTCGACGTCCGTCTCTCTGATCACCGACTCACGGTACTAGCTACTAGCTCAAGCTTGTCTTCCTCATCAAAGCCGTCAGACTTCAACGAATCCATATCAACGACTCCCACATATAACGACTCGCGCATATAACGACCTTCGTGAGTACTGCCATCCTCCATGACCTCCATCGCGCTTTCTTTCTCCCTACTTACACAGAACAACTTTGATAGGTCTTGGGGCACTCATAACCTGGTGGCGAACAACTCGGACCTAGAGCAACTAGAATACAACTACAATGCACATCGGCGCATTCGGAAAATTCTGACGGATACTCGCTACATAGGCTCCCTCCCCTTTAGGACCCGAGGCGTCGACGACACACGCCCTTTCATTCAAACTCTTCCCATGCGAGCTCGGATCGGAATCCACTCGTTTGCAAGTCGACGTGACCGCCGACTGGGAGGGATCCAGGCTGGTGTTTAGAATTACCTAGGAGGTGACGATGCGTTAACGGAGGGTCATGAGGTGCATGCTGCAGAGGACAGAGCAACCTTCGTATGAGCGAGTTATGGCCCCTCTCAGAAGTGAATTCACCAATCCACTTCCGCTCCCATCGCTCCTCTGAGCAACGAACGCAGCCGCTTTATCCTCCTCTTCTCACACACTTCATCCTCGCAACCTTCTCTCCGTGCTGCGAAATCATCTCCTAGACACCTATCTCTAATAACCCCACCCCCTGCTTCATGACACGGACGCAGGTCGCATATACACCGCTTCCAAGCACTTTTGGTCAACCATGCTCCAGTTCTTAGCCTACACCTACCGCTGTATCCCACCTTGCCATTATCAACGCCAGAATCGTTAGGTTTGCGTCCTTTGACGTGAATTCCTCAGACAAAGGAAGATGTATGCTGCATGACTCGTCGCGTGTTTCTTACATCTGCGAAACCCTATGCCTAGTGCGGTGTGATCGTCGGACAATCCTAAAACGAGTGTACCATTTATCGAATGCCTACCCAGTTCATGTTTATTTAGATAATGCCACGTCATCAATATTGTGAATCGTTGCGAATCTTATGAAAGTAGGAAGTAAGTAATAGCAAGGGCACCGTTCAACGAGTGCCCGTTACAAGATAACAGAACGACGATTGACATTGATTGAGCCAGTTCTGGTTATAGTTTAAATAACGCAACGCGAATTGGTAAGTGAAGCTACAAAGTCAACCTGCAGTGTTACGATGATATGTTATCGCTCCATCGCAAGTAACACATTCAAATGTGCTGGTTTTGCCGACGGGTCGCGTGCATATTGATGCCCTTCCAATTCTTCGACTCAAACCCGATCGGCTGGACAGAGACTGACGCTTGAAGGCAAAAAAAAACCACCACACCATCAAATACTGCAACTAGTAAGATCAGATGTTAGGCTCACCCTCCTTCCTCGGAAACAAAAGCAGCGCATACGCACTCCAAACAAACCTATATACAATTGTTGTGAGTACTATCCAAAGCACTCAAGTATCACTGACCTACGCGTAATAGCCACGCCCCCCCATCATGTATCAAAGTCGTAGTCCGCGCGAGAAGAGACGAGGACCCTCCAATGAGTTTTGGTGTTTCTCGCCCTAAGCCTTTGTCCTCAGTAGTTCGATATAGGCTGAAGACCATTGGGAAAGAAGGCAGGTGTCAGTAACCATCGTCGGCCACGTCAAATCCAAGCATAATCAGCGATGGGTGCAACTGTATGTGTCACGTTGCGGCAGCCCATGGCGACGACGAGTTGCGAATGTCTACGCACGACGGGGAATCTACACGGTGTGAACGACGATTGCTCGTGTTACGGGCAGAGATTGGGGCCATTGGGTGATATACCCTGCATGCAACGACACGTAGAGGGGGTTGAAGAGCCTTTGAGCACTGAGCGAGCTTTCGTAGAGGAGAATGACCGAATAGTCAAATAGCTGGGTGCAACCGACAAGACGATCGATGTATTGAGAAGTCTGCCTGCGGTCACTGGCGAGAAGTCGATGTTGAATCAACTGACTCGGTATGGAGGCGGGTTCATTAAGAGGATTGAACCACGACTATATTTCCTTCGTGAGGCGATGGACGAAGGGATGCAGATGGCAGGGTCGTGCGGGTCATGGTGGACCTTGAAAAGACGGTACGGTGATCGAAGTGCGGCTTGCGTTGGTGTTGTGGAACCAGGACCTGAGGAACTAAAGGCAGTTAGCAAGGCAAAAGGCTGAATATATGCGAGGTGATAAGGAATTCAGAGGAAGGGAGAAGGGTACGAATAAATAAGTAACGGTGACAACGTACCAAAGAGAGACGGCCGCTATTCCTACTCTCCAGGTCTTCAAAACAAGCTTGCGCTTATTCCAGTAGATATCTCTGATTTGCGATCTTGTACTCCATGGCACTTGTAAAGGAATTTCAGAGGACCGAAACTGTTAGAGTTATTAGTATATCAGACTAACGGGGGCATGCAGAAGAAGGGGAAAGTTTCATTGCGATACAAAAGGGGAAAATGGTAAGGTAGAAAGGAAAGCAAATATAATGGAAGGGGGAACTCACTCAGAGCTGGTGCACTCGAACATGTTTGCAATGAAACCTAACTCTTCGGGCATCCTCTATATCTCAACCTATCTCAATACGAAAGCGGCCGCCGGCTTTCGTTTGGATTGCAGCGGGAGGTCGGGTAAGGATCCCCAGACGATGTCGGCAGTAGCTGAACGACCCAGAGAGGAAACGTTGGACGACTGGTCACCAAGCTCCGTTCGACGAGAGGGGTTTGCGTCGGAGTTGAACTTTCTCTGTAGACTGGTTGGACGACAAGCTTCTCCAGCTGCACTTGAAGGGTTCGACCAAATATCAAAGGGTCGTAGTCGACCGCTTCTTCAATATACCGTCGTGCGGCTGGAATGGATGTCGTGAGCTGGTAGGCAATCGTCGAAATCAAATGATTTTCTGTATCTCCCTTTGCAACTCCCCGAGCAAAGAAGAAACTTGCCGCAAGACGCACTGGTGAACCACCAAATTCCTCAGCTATTGTCTGTAGAATAGCAGATTTTCCTGACCCCGCTGGTGCGCTGAGCCAAAGAATCCGAGTCAAGGTAACCTTGGTCATGTCGGATACCCAACTTGAAATGTCTTCCAAGACTGCTTTGCGCGTGCCTTCATGGCACCTGGGGGCATCGTAACGGTCTTTGGAGTCATGCATGGCCCCAACAGCGATGTTATTCGAAAGGATCTGCCGTCCTAAACGCCGCACGGTGAGTGGCCAAGATCGGCGGCCAAAAGAAATGAAGCCTGCTAACCATGGTTTTGCATCTGAGTGTTCGTCACTAATTGACGTTTAGAAGAATCCATACCGGTGCAAAACGTCAGAGCCGCACCTTGATATGAATGTAAATCGCCATGTACGTTTGTGAAGGTACCTCCAGTCACAATAGCGCCTTGGGAACGGTTGAACATCCGTATGAAATGGTCTAATTGGAAGACAATCTCATGCCAGAAGGGTGATAGACGGAGACAAAGTTGGCGCCATGATGCATGATCACTCGACTTCAAACCCAAACACATGACAGCACATGACCGGGGCCTCTAGCCTCATCCAACTTAAAAATTTTCAGTTTGCAGGTAGCACCTATGTAAAGACTCCTCAGCCAGGCCGTCACCAACAAGACAAGTTACGTCCGCAAGGAGCTCTGCGCTGTCATCTTCGACGCTCGGAGACTGATTGCTGCTATACGAATATTGCCCAAGTACGTGTTCTTACAACCTTCCTCTCTCTTTTTCTGATTGTCTTTCCGAAAGGTATGGGGAGTATGAGAAAAACCGCTCTTCAACCTGACGGACTACGGAAACACTCTGAACCCGAACCAAAACACGGGCTCGTCCGCTTTCCTCAATACCAACCTCGTCAGCGTGTTCAGGCGACAGTCTGGGCAAGATATTACCAAGCCTCTTTATGTCGTGTTGAACTCTATGACGGCTACGAACCGCCAACTCCAAATTGCGTGCTTGAATAATGCGTTTTGGTTGGAGAGGTGGATTTCAGGAAGACGGCAAGGTGTCTAGTCTGAAATCTCTTTTTTGATCGCTGCTTCGGTTGTTCTGAAGACGTATATCGTTTTGAACTGTGAGTCCACCTATTCGTACACGAGAACGTTTTTTGATGTTGGTTATTCTAGTCTTGGCTGCCTTTCAGCTGGGCCATAGTAAGCGCCAGCCAGAGTTGCAGGACAAGTTCGTTATCTGTCAAGTGCCTTGTTATACTGAAGGCGAAGATTCACTTCGTCGGACTACTTATCGATTCGCTGGCGGCATTGAACTATTACGATAAGAGGAAGCTCATATTCATCCTTTGCGATGGCAATATTATCGGAAGTGGGAATGGCAGACTCCACCAATTGTTTTGGATATCCTTGGGGTTGAGACGCAGCTGGATCCTGGCCGTTGTTGTTCAAGTCTGTTGGGGAAGGATCGAAGGCGTTGAAACATGGAAAAATTCACTCTGGGTTGTATGGGTTTGAGGGGCACATCGTTCCGTGAGTCCAAACTTGGCCTTCTTTCGTTCGATTTCTGATGATTATGATCGTATATGGTGGTGCTCAAGGTGGCAAGCCCACCGAGCGCTTAAAGCCTGGTAAAAGTGGAAAGCGATACAGTCAAATTCTGTTGGGTGCACTATTTGAACAGAGTGCACTTTAATAAGGCCATGTCGCCTTTGGATCTTTGGATTCATCATTAGATAAGGGATGTCATTGGTATCGACCCTGCGTTCATCTTTACTGTGGATCCGGACACGGTAAGCTCACTTTCGTCCGGTTGAGCTCGGGCTGGCTGTGTGTTACTAGACGGTAACCACTGACTCTCTCAATCGCCAGGTGGCTTCAAGCGATGATGACTCTTCTGTGGGAAAACTCAGCTCGAAACCGAACAACCTCTTGGTGGACGATGCTCCAACTCTACAAGTACTACATCTCCCATCTTTCGAAAGCCTTCAAGAGCTTGTTCGGTTGCATCACATGCTTGCCAGGTTGTTCCTCTGCCGCATTTGCACTGCCGACAAAGGTCGTCCCATCGTCATCTCCAATCGAATCATCGAAGAGTATGCCAAACCCAACGTTAATACCCGAGTCTACAAGAAGAATCTGTTCTCTCTTGGAGAAGATCGATTCTTGGCCGGCACTCTTTCTATGAAGCATTTCCCGACTTTTAAAGCCAAGTTTTGCCCCGGTGCGGTTGCGCACCGTGGTGCCCAAGCCTTGGCGTATCCTTGTCTCACGGCGTCGTCGGTGGATCAATTCGACTGTTCATGATCTTTGTGAATTAGTGATTCCCCCGGAGTTGATTATGCTGTTTCTCTATGCGCTTCTTTGTCTTTATTGATCTTTTGGATATTCTTGTGAGTCCTTCTCCCTTACGACCTGCGCTAATGCTGACACATCTTCATAGATCCCGGCTACCATTGTTTATGTACGTGCTTCCCATCCGTCTTTCTGGCTGAGATTGAACCCCTTCTTGATTATAGTTTTGCAATCGGCGGAGGTTCTGCTTTCCCTCAGATTGCCCTCATCACGCTCGCTGTCACTTATGGCTCACAGGCGCGTCTCTTCGTTTCTTTTCATGAGCATGGATGAATGCTGACGTGCCATGCAGGCTTTGGGCTTCATCATCAACTGAGAGTTCATCCTTGTGGGTGGGATGATGGTTTATCTTCTTTGGTGACGCCACCCTTCGTATGCAAGGCAAGGAAAAGAAGGTGGTCATGAATGATGATGAGACATTCGACAATTCCATGAATCCCCCCAAGAATTTCAATGGTACGTCTTTTCGTACCCCCTTGTTCCGCCTTGGCATTGATCAACTCACTTTTAGAATATGAGGTTGAGCCTCGGGAGACTGGCATTCGGCACTCCGACGACACAGGATACGACAGCAAGTATCGTTCTCGTTCGCATGCTCCACGATTCCAAAATGCCTCTCCCCATCCTTACCAACAAGCTTCACAATCGGGAGGTTAATGCCATGACACCAACATGACATACAACAAGAGCTCAAATCCCAATCTTCGGCTTGGTGGAAGTCAGCATTCGAACAGCAACATTTCATCTCGTCATCGTCAACGGCCGCCCATGCCCCAGTTTGCCCCTCCCCAACTTCCGATAATGCGATTCGGTGGCCTCCGATTACTAGATCGGATTACCAGCACCAGTCAATGGGTTGCCGCCCATGAAGTCCTTAAGGTGGTTCGTACTCATGGCGCGCTTGTCTCTCAGCCTCCATCAGTATCGTTGGGAGAATATAGTGTGGCTTTGTTTCATGATTGGCGTAGCCTGGATCCTGGGTTGTTTTATGAGTGTTTTATGCGTAGTAGTCTAGAAAGAGAATGAAGATTTGGCGAAAAATGCCCAGTCTGATCCAAAGTCTGATCATCGCCAACTGCTCACAACAGTCTATCTCATTATGAACGAGCTAACTTAGTGCCCCTCCATGGGCAGCACTCTTATGGAGCCGCGCTGCCCCAAAATGCCAGCTACGTATGCGCTTCAGCCGTTCATGCGTATGTCAATCTTTCTCACATAATCGCGAAATCGTCTCGTTCTCTAACAATTCTTCTGTAGATAACGACATCACCTGGCTACTACCTTTCCCCCTTTCTCTCACTCTCGTCCTCATCACATCTCCTGGATCTTCCACCACCCGCCACCGCCATCCAGGTCCATGACGAACCGAACGAGGGTCACGCGTTGAGGCGACGGGAGTCGGTCGACCGTCGACTTCAAAGCCTCTCCAAGACTTGACAAGCCCTCTGGTGGAGTTGGCGGATGATAGGGAGGTTGATTACCTAGAGAATCAAGAAAAATCCGGGTACGACAGAACGATTGGACCATTTGAGGGATTTCGTTGACGACAACGTTGGGTTATCAGTGAGTTTAATCTTGGTTTAATCACGCTCGTAACTTCAGAGGGCTGACCTATCGTTACAGTATTCTTCGTGCCCATGGCTGAGGACACACATCAGTGTGAGTACGGCGCACCTAGTGCTAGAGATGATCTCAGCGTAAGTTCGTTCCTTCTCTTCTTCTGGGGTCAAAACCTGTTTCCGCTCTAGCTTCCTGGGTCAGCGGGTCAAGCGAAGTCGACGTCCGCGTATAGGATTACAACTCACCGTGAGGGTCCTGGCTATCTCAAGGGTTGTCAAACTTCAGACTTCAGCGAATCCACATCAGCGACTCGCGCATATAACGAACTTCGTAAGTACTGCCATTCACCATAGCCTCCATCGCACTCTTTTCTTGTTTACTTACGCGGAACAAGTGTTATAGTAGGTCTTGGTGCACTCATAAACTGGTCGCGAACAACTCGGACCCAGAGCAACTGGAATACAATGTACATCGGCGCATTCGGAAACTCGTGTCAACGACATATGTCCTTTCATTCAACCCTTCCCGTACAAGCTTGGATCTCACGATTGAGTATTCCACTCGCTTGCAAGTCGACGTGACCACCAACTGGGAGGGATTTAGGTCGTTACGATTGCCCAGGAGGCGATGATGCGTTGACTGAGGATCATGAGGTGGCATAGGAGGCTTTCTGCAGAGGACAGCGCGCCGTTTGCATGAAAGAGTTATAGCCCCTCTCAGAAGTGGATTTGCCAATCCACTTCCGCTCCCAGTCCTCCTCTGAGCAACCAACGCAGCCGCTTTATCCTCCACTTCTCAGACACTTCATCCTCGCAACCCTGTCTCCATGCTGCGAGATCTCCTCGACACCTACCTCTACCCACACCCTTGCCTCAATGGCACGGTCAATGGTCGCATATAAGTACACCGCTTTCAATCGCTTTTGGTCAACCATACTCCAGTTCTTTATCTATACCTACCGCTGTATCCCACCTTGCCATCATCAACGCCAGAATGGTTACGTTTGCATCCTTTGGCGTGTATTCCTCAGACAAAGGAAGGAATGTATGCTGCCATGAGTCGTCGCGTGATTCTTACATCTACGAAACCCTTGTGCAGTGTGATCGTCTGACAGCGTACCGTTTGTTACATGCCTACCCAATTCATGTTTACTTGATACTAAGTATTACGAGTCCTTGTCACTGTAAAGTAGGAAGTAATAGCAAGCGGCACCGTTTAACGAGTGCTCGATAATGTTCTGGGAGGTAAAGAGACTACGATTGACATGGTAGGCATAATTTGAGGATAATATAGTCAAATGTCCAGGTATTGTCGACGTTAACGTTGAATGTCGAACCTTGAGAGTCGCGCGCATATTTATGCCTTTCCTGGATTCGAACCCGATCGACTTGGAGACTGACGCTCGAAGGCACCACACCATCCTTCATCGAAGACATATTCCGCGCAAGAAGAGACGAGGACCCTCCAATGAGTTTGGTGTTTCTCATCCTAGGCCTTTGCCCTCGGTCGTTCGATATCATCTGAAAAACCATTGGAAAAGAAGGCAGCTTTGAGTAATCATCGTCGGCCATGTCCAATCAGCGATGGGCACAACTGTATGTGCGACGTTGCAGCAACCCATGGCGACGACGAGCTGCTGATGGATACGCACGACGGAGAATCTACGCGCTGTAGACGCTGAGTCCAGGAGGGGGCGGAGATCGGGGCCATTAGGTGGTATACCATGCTATATGTAAGGATAGATAGAGCGTCGGGATCGAAGTAATCGAGAAGGTTTGAGCACTGAGTGAGCTTTGGTAAAGGAGAATGTCCGAATAGCCACATAGCTGGGCGCAACCGATTAGACGATCAATGTATTAGAGAGGTCCACTGACAAAGAGTCGAGAGCTCGGTATGGAGGCAAGTTCGTTAGAAGGATTCAACCATGGCGAAATTGTCTTCGTGAGTCGATGCACGAAGGGTCAGGTCGTGTGGGCTATGTTGGACTTTTAGAAAGACGGGACGAACATCGAAGTGGGGCTTGCGTTGGCTTTATGGAACCAGGACCTGAAGAACGAAAGGGCAAGAGATTGAATATATGTGAGGTGAAAATGACACAAGTCACACAACGGGGATGACTTACCAAAGGAGAGATTGCCGTTATCCCTACTTTCCAGCTCTCTGACACATGTGTTCATGATCAGGTATACGGCAGGGATCTACCGTGTGGTGTGTAGAGCTTTTCGTGAGCGTCTTAGCGTCGTAGAGCTGGGCATCAGCCACGGTTGCAACGGAAAGTTTAGGGAAGAGGATAAGTCAGATCCCAATCCTGTTTACACCGTCAAAATGTGTTGCGGCACGAACTGGGGGAAAAGGATGATCTCACTCAGAGCTGATGTACTCGTACATCTTTGCAATGAAATCCATGGACTAACTCTTCGCGCATCCTTAAGATCGAAACAACTCCCCGCTATCTCTATATCGGTATATGTTGTCGAAAGTGGCCATCGTGATTCAACTTGATTGCAGCGGGAGGTCGAGTGAGGATAGCCAGGCGATATCGGCAGTAGCTGAAAAACCCAGAGAGGTCACAACAGTGGACGACTGGTCATGAAACTGGGGTTCGCGGCGAAGTTGACCTTGCTAGTACTGGTGCTTCCCCCGTCGAAGGTGGCCGAAGAAAGACAACATCGACTTGACAACAACGATTTTGCAAGTTGAAGGGCCCGTACTAGGTGGGTCGCAGGGCGTGAAAGAAAGAGACATGTTTACATCGTCAGCTGATGGAAACGCTTGGGAAAGCGGAGTTGTCTTTCTCGCATAGCCACACCCAAACAAGCAACCTTGCCCCACACCTGACTGCACATCTTCCTCTTTACTTCCATCTCGTCGCCTAACAATGTGTATCCCACCCAATCACCCTCTTCTCAAACCGTTTTCTAGTCTGAAGAAAGTGATCACAAGATCACGCTCACCGATTTCTCAATCCGCAGACAACCCTAGCAATGATTTAGTTCTCCCCAGCTCTGACCTGCCTATCCTGATGACTCCATCTTCGACCATCCGTGCCGCAGACGTAGCCATGCCAGCCACCCGTAAGATACTATTAAATCCTTCTGCCTCAACCTGAACATTGATTACTCATCAAATCAACTTTACAGGTGATCCGGTTGAAGTCCCTGGAGAAGGAGTGGTTGAGCGCTCCCAGCAAGTTCTATCTATCTCCACTGGTCTGCGTCAACCCCAAAGCTCTATCACTCATTGTTTGTAACACTGATATAGATGTCCTGAGTTCTCGCCTGCCTACCTCTTCCCCAATTTCTCCAATCACGAATGAAATGTCTGCTGCTTGTGAGATACACCTCGATCTGTTTGCTATAATGTTAATGTTGACCTTCATCAATTTTAATTTCACAGTTGATCAGGTAGAAGGTTCTGTGCAAAGACCTGTTGATTTCTTGCAACATCCTTCTCTTATCTTGACTGGTTCATGCTTGCTCCAAATATCTATATTCTATTTCTGATAACTCTGTATAGATCCTCCAAGTTCTGACTTGCCTATCTGTCTGCCCATTCCTTCTGCTCTGAATGCAGAAGATATGTTGGATAGTAAGTACTCTTATAAATAACATTTAGGTTTTCTCAAATGTGACAGACCATGCAGAGTTCTCAACAAATCTTCAAGCTGACATGATACACAACATTTCAGCTCAAAATGTGAATACAGCTCCTAACTATGGTTTGTTGCATTTGAATCATCACATTTATGGTGTCTAACATTTTAATAGGTACCATCAATCAAGGTAAGTAGTAGGAAAAATCAGCTTATGCATTATTTAAATGTTATTTGGGTGGGTAGGTGTTGACCCAAATATTCAAATCACACTTGAGATGATTAGAGATGAACAACTTGGTATCATTGCAGGTTCTTATTTGAAATGTTTAATTGACACCATTTTTGGTTGCAGGAAAGGAAATCTACAAGTGGCTTGGTCCACCTAAGGAATCAGTCAACTACAATGCTGCATATTCAATTCTGAAGAGTCAACCAAACAGCTGTCAATGGTTTCTCAATGGGAACACATTTTCTGAGTGGCTCAAACAACCTGGCTTTCTTTGGATCAAAGGAAAATGTAAGTTGTTCATAAACATTGATGAGTTTATCTGTTATTGACAGTCTATTTAGCTGGCTCTGGAAAAACTATTATAAGGTTGGCTATTTTGACATTTCTATGCAATGGAATCAAAATTTCTTTTCACAGCTCAGCACTCATTCACAATATTCTTCAAAGATACAATACTGCATATTTCTTTTTTGATGGAAGAGACTCACAGAAGGATTTTCAGCTGCATGATAAACTGCTTCGATCACTCATCTGGCAATTCTCTCTCAAATGTGAGGGTAAAGTGCCTAAAGTCTTAGCAAATCTGTTTGCTTGCTGTGGTGGTGGCCATCAGGAGCCAACTTTGGATGACCTGGAAAATACTCTTCAAAGAATTCTTGATGGCTTTAGCTCAGCCTTCATCATTCTGGATGCTCTTGATGAATGTACTGAAAGAGGAAAGCTTTTGAACTGGATCTACACTGTTATTCTGGGAAAAGATATAAATCTTGGGCTTCACTTGATAGTTACCAGTCGCCCAGAAGAGGAGATTGAGAACAAATTCAAGTCTTATCATTATCTTGACTTGGTTGAGGAATCTGAGAATCATGATCTTGTAGCCTACCTTGACTATCAGCTTCAGAATGACCCTGACTTGCAAAAATGGGGATCTGAGACTCAAGAGCAGATAAAGTTGACATTATTGGATAAAGCAAATGGAATGTATGTTCATTACTAACATTTGAATGATAGGATGATTGCTGAATGTTATTTTAGGTTTCGTTGGGTTGCACTGCAGTTAAATGAACTCAAAAAATGCCGAACCAAGACTGATCTAACAAAGCAGCTAGCCAATCTACCTCAGGGTTTGGAAAAAACCTATGATAAAATCTTGCTAGGAATCACAGAAAAGGATCATGGTTATGCCAAAACCTTTCTACAGTGGCTATCTTTTGCTGTTTGTCCACTAAGATTGGAACAGCTGGCTGCAACTGCTGCTGTTGATTTTTCTGATGAAAATGGACCAGAGTATAAGTCTGATAATGAGCTTCAAGATATTAGAGATGTCTTGAAAATATGTTCTAGTTTTGTTATGAAATCAGAGGGTATGGTTCAGAATAATTCCTGATCAAAATGAGTATTGACCATTGAATAGGTTTCATCAAGCTTTCCCACTTTTCTGTGAAAGAATATCTCACATCTCACTATGTTCAAAATCATGATGTGAAACACATCAGGAACTTCAGCTTCAGTGATGAGCTGTCACACTCTGTCATATCTCAGATCTGCCTTGCCTATCTACTACAATTCCACACATCTGAGCTACTTGATATAAATGTGGATGTATCCTTCCCTCTTGCAAAGTATGCTGCACAACACTGGATTATACATTCACAGTCTGGTAGCAGCACTAAACCTCAGTCATCATCAGTATTTACATTGATGATGAAGCTGTTAACACAGCAAAATACTGCTTTTGTGAGCTGGGTCCAACTTTGTGATATAGATGATAATAATTGTTTCAATCTACAAAAACAAAGAATTAAGATTGCTAAACCTCTATATTATGCAATAATGGCTGGACTGACTGAAGCATCATATGCTTTGCTAGAAATGGAAGCAGATATAAATGCACAGGGAGGCAAATACAGAAATGCACTCCAGGCAGCATCATATAAAGGAGAGGAGGCAATTGTAAAGCTGTTGATTGACAAGGGGGCAGATGTAAATGCACAGGGAGGAGAATATGGAAATGCACTGCAGGCAGCATCATATAAAGGTCATGAGATTATTTTGAAGATGTTGATAGAGAATGGGGCAGATTTGAATGCACAGGGAGGGGTATATGGAAATGCACTCCAGGCTGTTTCCCATAGTGGTCATGAGGCACTTGCAAAGCTATTGATCAAGAAGAGGGCAGATGTAAATGCACAAGGAGGACGCTGTGGAAATGCACTGTATGCAGCATCATATGCAGGCCATGAGGAAATTGCAAAGCTTCTGATAGACAATGGGGCAGATATAAATTCACATGGGGGATACTATGGAAATGCGCTTCAAGCA